GATTATCCTGGGAATGAGTGTCTGAACGATCTCTGAAAAGTGCTGGATTATCCTGGGAATGAGTGTCTGAACGATCTCTGAAAAGTGCTGGGTTATCCTGGGAATGAGTGTCTGAATGATCTCTGAAAAGTGCTGGGTTATCCTGGGAATGAGTGTCTGAATGATCTCTGAAAAGTGCTGGATTATCCTGGGAATGAGTGTCTGAACGATCTCTGAAAAGTGCTGATAACACGGTATATACTCTTATGGTATGGGGTATAGTATGGGTTATAGTATGGTGTATGGGGTATAGTATTAATTAAACCCATTTTTAGTAGCTCTTAAGCAACCAGAAACTAAATGTCTCTGGAATCTACCAATCAATGTGGATGCCGGATAACTGGGTGTTTACTGTATTTAGATTTTCAATAAGGTAGTGAAAGGTTAGAATTTTTGTCCTGCTTCTTTTGCTGTCTATGTCACCATTAGAGAGGTTTCCCTTCATTTCCTGTTCAATGGAAAACACAACACACCCAAAGGCACACTGTGTCTCTGAGAGAGGAAGTGAAGCCAGATCTACCCACTGGAGATAAAGACCTCAACACACATCGGGATAAAGGCGGAGATTACCAGACAATATGTTATTATTTATTGTTGCATTCAGTAGAAATACAAAGCGTTTCTTGAGGGCCCCGTCCCGTAAAAGAAAATTATATACACGCATTGGCCACTTTATTAGGTACACCTTGCTAGTACCGGCTTGTACCCCCTTTTGCCTTAAGAACTGCCTTTATTCTTGGTGGAATAGTGTCAAGAACTGGATCTGAACCCAGAGCCTCTACTGTAGCTGGTGGTGCTTCTACCTGCTGAGCCACCTTAGAAGCTTGGATAGCTCCTTGCCTGATCTCCTGTGTAATCCTCAGGTAAACCTTGTTTCTGCAGAACTCTGAACTCCTTGCTCGTCCCTTGAATGTCCTATTTAAGCCATGCCTCTGCACTTCCTGTTTGCCAGATTATTGTGCTCCTGCCAATATCTTGCTCCTGTGATACAATCCGCTCATACTGCTACCTGTGTACTGACCTTTGGCTGCTGATTCACCGCCTACTCTCATCATCTTCTGCTTCATACCTGATACCTTTGGCTACTGACCTCGGCTTGTTCTCCGACTACGCTTCTGCCTGCTCCTATACTACTACCGTCTGCTTGTGTACCGAACTCGACTTGTTATACCACGAATTTGCCTGCTGTTTCAGCTACTGGACTCTGAGCCTGATCCCAGATCGTGACACATACAGTAGATTCAACAGATGCTGGAAACATTCCTCAGATATTTTGGTCCACAGTGACATGATAGCATCACACAGTTGCTGAAGATTTGTCGACTGCACATCCATGATACGAATCTCTCGTTCCACCACATCCCAAAGGTGCTCTATTGGATCGAGATCTGGTGACTGTGGAGGCCATTGGAGCCCAGTGAGCTCATTATCATGTTCAAGAAACCAGATGATTAAGATTATGTGAGCTTTGTGACATGGTGCATTATCCTGCTGGAAGTAGCCATCAGAAGATGGGTACACTGTAGTCCTAAAGGTTAGACATGTGCGATTCGTTTCGTTACGAATCGAAATTCGTACGAATTTTCCTGAAATTCGTAGATTCGTAAGCATACGAAATCCGAATTGCAGTTTCCGAATTATATCCGAAATACGAAATTCCGTTAACGAATTTCGGATCCGAATTTCTTTGAAACAGGAACTATTATTACCCCTGTAAATGAGGTTGAACAACATGACAAGATTTTTTTTTTTAATCCAAAATACGGATCCGCTGCTGCTGAGGGTTGCATTACAATACAAAGGCAGGAAATACGAAATTCCGTTGACGTATTTTCGTTCCGTTACGAACATTCGTTATATTGAAGTTAAAAAGCAAAGTACATTTATATTGGAGTTGATGGTAGTTTTTCCGAAATACGAAATTCGAATACGGAATCTGTATTTCAGATACAAAAACAACTACCACATCGACTCCAATATTAACAAAGGTATTTTTGTCTTTTTAACTTCATCATAACGAATGTTCGTAAAGTTACGAAAATGTGCCGAAACTAACAAATATCCGTATTTCGTACGAATCCGAATTGAGTTTCGGATACGAATTACGAAATACGAAATAACGGCTATTCCGGAATGAAACTAAACGGAACAAATTTTTTGACGGCGCACAAGTCTACTAAAGTTATGGACATGGTCAGCAACAATATTCACGTAGGCCATGGCGTTTAAACGATGGTGTGGTCTTCTGCTGCTGTAGCCCATCTGATTCAAGTTTGGATGTGTTGTGCATTCAGAGATGGTATTCTGCGTACCGCGGATGTAACAAGGGGTTATTGGAGTTACTGTTGCCTTTCTATCATCTCGAACCAGCCTGCCCATTCTCCTCTGACATCAACAAAGCATTTTCATCCACACAACTGTGCTCAATGGATATTTTCTCTTTTTCGGACCATTCACTGTAAACCTAAGAGATGGTTATGCGTGAAAATCCCAGTAGACCACCAGTGAAATACTCAGACCAGCCAGAAAAAGGTTCCCAGCACACTCACCAGCCAGCATGCAAAAAAAACTTGTCTCACCGCTAAGGTTATAAACAGAGGTTTAGATACACGTCTTCTGCAGAAAATGTGAAAGCCGCCTCGCCTCGCCAAGGCCCCTCTATACAGTGCGGTCCTAACTCTAAACTATGAGAGTCTCCATCTAGACGTGTATCCAAACCTCTGTTTAAAACCTTAGCGGTGAGACAAGTTTTTTTTGCATGCTGGCTGGTGAGTGTGCTGAGAAACTTTTTCTGTTGTACTGTATTAAGCCCTTCCATGTGCACCTTGCTGTAATGCTGGTAACAAATTGATCAGTGCGTTTGCCATTTGTTTTGCGAGTCCTCAATGGACATCCCCTCCCTCTGGAGGGTGAGGCGCTTCCTAGCGCATCACAAAGTGTCCTTGAAACAACACATCACCCGCCAGTGATACCGTCCATACATCACCCCAAAGTGAGTAATCGCTGTCAGCAGCACAATGTATTTGAGTTCATGTTCCAGAGCCCTAAACAGGTCCTGTGCAACAGGACAATGCCAGAAGAGATGCAAAATCTATTGTACATCTATTTTACAGATGCACTACATGAACATCACTGCACTGTGGTAAGGTACGTCTTACCGCAACTCGCAGCATCATGCATTATATATCGGTTTCTCTCTTCAGTTTGTTCAGTTAAGGTTTGAAAATGAAAGAGAGGTGCTGATTGGTTGCCATGCACAGCTGCTCCAGATTTTGTCTGCTCCAGTTTTTATGAATTCCCCCCCAGAGACTTCTCCTGATGGGTTAGCTCTGTGAATTGAGCCTTATCTCAGAATGATTCGATCCTGATTATTAGGGATGCACCGATACTAGTATGGGTGCCGATATTAAGTATTTGGGTGAGTACTCATACTCGCCCAAATGCTCTGATACCTTCCACTGTACCGGAACTGACGGTCAGAGGGAGATTTCCTCTGACCGGTTGTGCCACGAGGGAACATGGAGCCGGAGCTGATTGGTTGCCATGCATAGCTGCTCCAGATTTTGTCTGCTCCACTTTTGATACATTTCCCTCAATGTACTTTCAAAGAAATTCTCATTGAAACAACTCACCAATACCGACACTATTTTTCACTTTTGACAGGTGAGTTCACTAGTCGGCTGCTTCTCCTTTCACTGTCCAATCACAGGCTTGGGGCATGGGCAAGACCTGAAAGGGTTGATTAACTGCAGCAGAGGTCTCCTTCCCTGCCGAACATGGCTGTGTTGTCTGATGTATTTTATCTGTGTATTTAGCTGTTTGCCTGGAGTTCTGTTTTAAAAGAGAGCCGCGGTTTGTTTATCCACAAAATTATCTGGAACTGAAATGTCACATCTATCAAAAGCTCCAATGTGACTATTTGTATTGAGCCTCTTCTGTGGCTTTTCCCCCTAAGCCGGTCTATATGCCATGACTTTTCATAGCTAAAGATTAACCAGCTTCCTTGTGAGTTGGGTGATGTGGAAGACGTGTTATCTTCCCAGGCAGATGATCCATTACCAGGAACACACTAACTTCTCCAGATTGTCAATCCAAACAAAAAAAGACAAGGACAGATATGGACCTCGGTGCCTGAGGCCAGATGATTAACAAATCACAGTCCCGGTTCTTCATCAACAAAACTTATTACAAGTTTGAAAGGAGCTTCACAACTTGTACCCCCAACTTCTGAAGATGGGAATGATGTCCTCTTGTCTGACAACCCACCAAGATGGAGCGCCATTCCTTACAAATATGAGATAACATAACAGGTCATCATACTTTGGTGAACACCAACGGCTGCACACTGGATGGTTCGGTTGCCGAGATAAGCCTTCTCTGCGGTCTAAAAAGCTTCAGCCATGTGTCAGGTGTTCCTCTGCAGCCAGCACACCATGCTGACAGTCGCCCTATCCCTGGGCTATTTCACATACCTCTTCATGGGTGCCATGATGTTCCAGATTCTAGAGAAACAAGCCGAAGCCAATTCCCGGGATAAGTTCCAGCTCGCCAAACTTGGTTTCCTCCAGAATTACACCTGCCTGGACGTGGGGGCTATTGAACAATTTGTACAGGTAAGATGTGCAACTCTTTCTAGAGTTCTCATATGACCAATGCCAATAAGCTCTGTATCTCAAGAAATGTTTGTTGGAAGGGATGTTAACCTGCGGTATTCCCGAGTGTGGCTCGCGGTTAATTCTCTGTACAATAATCGGTAACCCCCAAGTCACACTCCGGAATACACAGAGCGTCTCTTACCTTGTCCCTTGAGCCGTGCTGTGTCTTCCGGCCGATGCCGGCATCCGTCTTCCGGCCGATGCCGGCATCCGTCTTCCTGGTTCCGTCCCTGGCGAGCGTCCGCGTAGCAGGGGGGCGGAACTGGAGGGAGATTCAAAAGTTTAAAAAAAAAACTGAAAAAAAATAGAATGAAAAAAGGAAAGAAAAAAATCATACTGCCAGGGAGGTTAAAGGACCGCCATATATATATAGTCAGCCATTTGGTTTACGTTGAACACCTTCGTTTTGTTAATTGATACAAGTAAGTGAAGGATTAAGATAAGATTTAAGGTTTCTGTAAAGTCAAAACTGTTTTTAGTTTTTAATAGAATGTGGAATCGGACAGGTTTTCATTGCTGTCCCATCGGTGACACCACCCTCTCCATCGGAGTCAGCACCCTCTTCATTGGTGTCACCACCCTCTCCATCGGAGACAGCACCCTCTTCATTGGAGACAACTCCCTCTCTATAGGTCTAGGTGACCATTGTTGTCAAGACAGAAAGTAATGGAGAATCTATTTTAGAGCTGTCATAAGAACAGGAGGTGACGGGAAATATTTCAACCTCATCTGGTGACACCTGTATAAGGATTTGGCTTTGTATTCACTGTGAAATAAACCTGTCGCCAGGAAACACAGTGGGGGCTGTTACTGAACCATGGCTGGAGATCTTTTTCATCAATATCGGTTTCTTCAATATTGGTTTCTTCAATATCGGTAGTCATTGACCTGGACCAAATATTCAGACAAGGACTTCCCTGATGTGCATAATTGTTACTTGTTCTGGGTCAGGCACTCAGAAAGTTCTAAAGCCACACAGTTAACACCATAGTCAAGCATCTGGGATACACCCCGTATTTCACTCATGAGGGGTTATAACTTTAAAGCTGAACTCCAGGCTGCTCTTCTGCATCGAAATGCCCATATTACTCACATAAATCTGCAGTCATGTGATGTTCCAGTCTCTCTCCTTCAATGCACAGGGTGGCTGTCATGCTAGCATATCTGCAGTGCTGGGTTACTGGTTCCCCGCGCCTAGAAATGGCACCAGCGAGGGACCCGGATGGTGCGCTTAGGTGACTGCAAAATACTCCAAAAAAACTGAATGGGTTAGTGGTCGGTGGAGCAAAGTGTTGGGTTTTGCCCAGAGATGGGCTTTAATTACTTTTTGTGTCTGGGGAACAGTTGGATAAATGTCATTATGTGTATATAGGCTAAATCTGTACTATAATCCAGCAGTCCTTTTATGGACAGTTGGATAAATGGCTCTATATTTAGGATGTATCTATAGGAGGCTCTGGATGGACAGTTGGATTGATGGCTCTATATTGCAGATGTATCTATAGGAGGCTCTGGATGGATTGTTGGATAAATGGCTCTATATTTAGGATGTATCTATAGGAGGCTCTGGATGGACAGTTGGACATATGGCTCTATATATTTAGGATGTATCTATAGGAGGCTCTGGATGGACAGTTGGACATATGGCTCTATATATTTAGGATGTATCTATAGGAGGCTCTGGATAGACAGTTGGATTGGTGGCTCTATATATTTAGGATGTATCTATAGGAGGCTCTGGATGGACAGTTGGATTGATGGCTTCATATTTAGGATGTATCTATAGGAGGCTCTGTATGGACAGTTGGATACATGGCTCTATATTTAGGATGTATCTATAGGAGGCTCTGGATGGACAGTTGGATTGATGGCTCTATATTGAGGATGTATCTATAGGAGGCTCTGGATGGACAGTTGGATTGATGGCTCTATATTGAGGATGTATCTATAGGAGGCTCTGGATGGACAGTTGGATTGATGGCTCTATATTGAGGATGTATCTATAGGAGGCTCTGGATGGACAGTTGGATTGATGGCTCTATATTGAGGATGTATCTATAGGAGGCTCTGGATGGACAGTTGGATTGATGGCTCTATATTGAGGATGTATCTATAGGAGGCTCTGGATGGACAGTTGGATTGATGGCTCTATATTGAGGATGTATCTATAGGAGGCTCTGGATGGACAGTTGGATTGATGGCTCTATATTGAGGATGTATCTATAGGAGGCTCTGGATGGACAGTTGGATTGATGGCTCTATATTGAGGATGTATCTATAGGAGGCTCTGGATGGACAGTTGGATTGATGGCTCTATATTGAGGATGTATCTATAGGAGGCTCTGGATGGACAGTTGGATTGATGGCTCTATATTGAGGATGTATCTATAGGAGGCTCTGGATGGACAGTTGGATTGATGGCTCTATATTGAGGATGTATCTATAGGAGGCTCTGGATGGACAGTTGGATTGATGGCTCTATATTGAGGATGTATCTATAGGAGGCTCTGGATGGACAGTTGGATTGATGGCTCTATATTGAGGATGTATCTATAGGAGGCTCTGGATGGACAGTTGGATTGATGGCTCTATATTGAGGATGTATCTATAGGAGGCTCTGGATGGACAGTTGGATTGATGGCTCTATATTGAGGATGTATCTATAGGAGGCTCTGGATGGACAGTTGGATTGATGGCTCTATATTGAGGATGTATCTATAGGAGGCTCTGGATGGACAGTTGGATTGATGGCTCTATATTGAGGATGTATCTATAGGAGGCTCTGGATGGACAGTTGGATTGATGGCTCTATATTGAGGATGTATCTATAGGAGGCTCTGGATGGACAGTTGGATTGATGGCTCTATATTGAGGATGTATCTATAGGAGGCTCTGGATGGACAGTTGGATTGGTGGCTCTTTATTTAGGATGTATCTATAGGATGCTCTGGATGGACAGTTGGATTGGTGGCTCTATATTTAGGGTGTATCTATAGGAGGCTCTGGGTGGATAGTTGGATAAATGGCTCCGTAATTAGTCTGCATCTGAGCCAGTGGATGGATGGGTGGCTACAGTAGCAGGATGGTATGATTTCCATTGCTCTTACCTGTCCTTTGCAGCCTCCTTCTTCCACATTTGAAGGTTAAACACTGTTCCAAACCTGCACTGCAAGATCTGTACATGTGCATACTAAAATCCTCTAACTGCAATGAAAGACCATGGTTATGGTCATCATGGTTATCAAGCTGCATGTGTGCTTTGTAGCGAAGGCTTTTGGCTTTTCGTATATGGGAGATGCGGGACAGGCAAACACCGGCAGAGAGGATATGCAGCTTGGGGCAGACCATGCAATGAAGATCTATCTGGCATTGCATTTCCAGTCAATATAACTTAAAACAGCCGTGCTCGGCCCAAAAAGGAGAAATACGCTAAAAGTGTAATGTTCCTTCAAATCAAGGACCCCTTAGGTTTTGTATTCATGGTGGAAGTAATGCTAAACCTCACAGATAATCTGAAATGTTGAAATATGTATCTATGAGGTCACCCAGAGAGGAGACAAATGGAGCAAACATTGCTTGTCCTGTGTCCTGAAATATTCTGACATTTTCCTTCACAAAGGTCACTCAGATAACCGGGACTAATGATGGTTCTGGAGCTGCCAGCGTGCCCGCTGACCCAGGCAGGATGCCAGGCGGTATCTCCGGCTTTGTTTACTCAGAGCCGCGAGAAACAATCTGTCAATTTGTACAAACATTAGAGCAAACATCTCGCCCAGCAAACAAGATTACAAACCGTGCAGCTTCACCAATGACTCCTAAATCCCCACCACCACCACCACCAAACCACATGACTGCAAAACGGCGGTTTTCATGCTAAATTGGGAGGCCGAGGAGCTCATAAACTTCTTGATGTACTAAAAGGCCGAGGGACCCATTGTTTTTAGGGCAACACCATGACAAAAAGCAAAATTAATCAGTGAACTTCAAATGCTTTCCAGCAAACATTTGCTGGAAGAGATAGCACAACGGAAGCTGCCTGCTTTGAGGCTTGCTTTGTCTGACTGACACCTCAGACTGAGCTGTCCAATATTATTATTATTATTATTCAGGATTTATATAGCGCAGTTTGCGCAGCGCTTTACGATATAAAAATCTGAGATATATCCGGGGGCAGAGTTGTGGATGGCTTTGTAAGTCGTTGTTAATATTTAGAATTGTATTCCTTGGGCAATTGGAAGCCAGTGCAGGGATCAGGCAGAGGGGGGTAGGGGATGGAAGCCAGTGGAGGGATCGGGCAGAGGGGGAAGGGGGTGGAAGCCAGGGG